GCACCAGTAATAACAGGTAGTACTTGTCTAAAATCACCTCCAAATACAACTACCTTTCCACCAAATACCTTGTTCTCTGCGTGTTTGATAATATCGTAGAAGCTTTTATCTAAAGCTTCGAAACAAAACTTGCTCATCATTGGCTCTTCATCCCAGATTATGAGAGATGCTTCTTTAATCAAATCTGCTAAATCTGATTTAGCTTTGATCTTGCAAACAGAAAACTCATCAGGATTCAATGGAATAGAAAACCTTGAATGTGCGGTTCTTCCTCCTTCCAACAACAAAGAAGCAATGCCACTGGAGGCGACATTAAGACATATTAGACCTCTACATCTAATAGCCGCAGAGAGTGTCTTCCAAATAAATGTTTTCCCTGTTCCTCCAGAGCCGTAAACAAAGAAAACTCCACCTAAACCATTGAATACTGCGCCGGTTATCTCATTGTATACACCTTTCTGTTCAGGAGTTAGCTTGTCTCTCCACTCGACATGTTGTTCTTCCAAGTTAGATTCGATGTTATATCTCAACTCATCGACAATAAGACGGTTTGAATTATCAATCCCCTCTCTTGTAGGCTTAGGGAAATGATCAAAATCTTCTAGAGTTCCTCCATTGAACAACATAATTTTCTCTATCTCCTGTAGGGTGTAGTTCTTTATTTGAGCTTCTGTGAGTGTAAGGTCTGCAAATAGTATTGTGGAAGTTAAAACAGACGATTTCTGAATTGGACTGAAAACATTATTTAAATAGTAGAGAAATGGATCATAAACCTGGATTTTTGTACTCTTCTTTCTTCTTAGCCAAAATATCTTCAGATAATAGATGCCATGTTTCTGACCAAACATGTTCTGGTCTTGCTAGAGACATATAAAGAAGCATCATTGAAAAAAAATTCCTCAAAACAGGAGCAAAACTATGCTGACCTAATTCAATCAGACCATCTATGTAGACCTGATCATCATCTAATATGCCACGTGCAAAACATGCTTCTTTGTAAGATGGATAAACCACACCTTTATATGTCTTTATGTCATCATAACTCTGTGGACCTCTGACTATGTTTAGGAGGACTCGAAGATAGTATTCATCTTCCATTTTCCTAGGGACATAATTAATACGACCCAAAGACCAGCCTCTAGATCTCTTCTTAAACAACTTGTTCTTTCCGTCCCAAGTAAAATAGGCTGGTATTTCCGCATATAGACAATCTCGTGCACGCTTTCCATTCTTTCCAACTGCATTTTTTCTATTCAATGTCAACCAAGCCATAAACTGAGAATCCTCATTGGATATACGTTCAATAACATCTTCTATGTTTCCCTTTGGATCGAAATATACTGGTTGCTTTCCTTCCACATGAAAAGATAATTTCAAGACTGGGGTTGATCTATGTTGAATAGGAAATTTGAAAATTCTCCAAACAGCCTCTGAAGCTGATACATATCTATAGACATCAAAAAAACTGAATAAATAAAATTGTAACAGGATAAAAACTTACTAATTTACATTTGGTTAAGTTCATAACATACCTGCAGTCAAACCAATCTTTTATTTCATTCTTCTTTTTCTCATTTGAATTTGGATCTTGAGCTGGATTTGCTGTATCACCAGTTGCTGTAGCACCAGTTGCTGTAGTATCAGTTGCTGTTTCCCCTGTTGATGCCTGATTCAATGGCTCAACGATAACTGTAACACGATCTGGGCCTTTGTTTATATACTTAAATAAGTATTTGATAGAACCATTCTGATTGCACCATTCGACATTGATATGAGCATTATAGCGAAGCGAGAGCTTCTTATTATAAGGCACAACATACCTATTGTCACATTTAACATCACCTTTCTCGATATAATCTTTTGTGACCCTCCTCCTATAGACAGGATAACCATCACTACCAACCTTAGTGATCTCTTGATGTTTTTTAGGATAAAGCTTAGAACACTGGCCATCAACCATACACGGAGAATTTGGATTTGCTGAGCCACATGGTCCATGAATCATTGAGTTTTTGATAACTTCATATAGCTCAGAGTTAGCAGCTTCTTTAATGGAGTTGTAATTATCGCATCGTAGCTTAGACTGATTAAACTTGATATAAGATAGGGGGTTTGATTCAATAGTTGTATATGCATCACACAAAAACTGTTGGAACAACCTCTTTGTTTCAAGCAGAGTATGACACTCATTTTCCCTCTCTTGAATGCGGAAAGCAAACCACTGCCTCATACTTATACACTTTTTCTTCTTATTGGTGCTTGATTTGTAACACTTCTCAATACCAGGCCTGTAGCCATCTTCACCATAACAAAAGATTAGAGGGTATTGTAGAGCCAAATATGAAATATGAATCTGGCTTATCCGCTTTAGGCGACCATTGGAGGATTTTTCAAGTATTATGTCACGAACTGGCATGTCAGGAATGAAATCACCAGGGATCAAAGCTGCAACCTCTCCTGCGGTAGGCATATTGTATTGCCTCCCATCAACACCCGGACGATCAGCAACAATACGCATATGAAAGGGTGAATCATCATTAGATTGAAACCTCTCTCTGGCAGACCTGAATTTTTTGACATAAGGGTTTGAATCATTAAGCATTTTTATTATTGCTTCAATCAGTTCCTTGTTCACTTTTTTTTTCCAAGAGGTAGAGCTTTGGTTTTTACCCTTGCTGCAATGATAATAAGAAAACACATAGTTTAGTTAAGGTACATCTTAAATATAGTAA